CTTAGGGACTGGACGCTAGCAGACCTGTAATGACTCTGGGGACTGCAGAAAGTAGCCTCAAGAAGAGAATGTATCAGGGAGTGCTTTACTGGTGAAACCTGATCTGCACGTTGACAATGCAGAAGGAGGTCTTGTAAACGTGAGGGGTTGGGTGCAATCTCCAGTTTGGAAAATCCCAAATGCAGACTGCTGGGATGGTGATGCTGGGGACGTGTGATTGCACTGTTTGCCAGGCACTAGAGGCAAGAAGGAGCCTAGGACAAAGCACATGGGGTCATGGCTGGGTGCAGACATGTCCTGATCTGTATGCCAAAAGGGAAAATCCAGTGACAGCTGTGAACTTCAATGGCAGTTGCAGGGAAGCAGTTCAGGCAAGAGGTTACTGTAAAGAGATCAGGTAGAAGGACATGGAGCTGCATTGGCCCTGAGGAAAAGTCTGCTCCGCCGGCCTTGGTGGACATGGCAAGATGGCTATGACCCACCTTCCACTGAGACACCTGGCACTCCTGAGCCTGCCACCTTGCCCGGTCCTCCTCTGCCTGCCTTCTGCTCTTCTCCTCTGCTGACTTAGCCATGTTTTCAAATCGTGACCGCAGGCTGCTGGTGCCAATGGAAGCTCCTGTGGAGAAGACAGCTGATCAAGCCTGCCCAATGTCTCCCTTCCACCACCCCAAGCATCCAGCAGAAACCCAGACCTCTGCCTCTTGCAGAGAAACTTGCAGTTCAGCCACCTTCTCCACCTGCCCCTCAACACAGGTTAAATCCACATCCCACCACAGCACATGCCTGCCAGTGTGCTGCCACAGAGAGACCATGAGGCTCACAGCTTCCCACCAAGCCCAGGGCTGGTACTCAGTTGCCTCACCTGCCTCCAGTGGTCTTGTTTTCTCATACAAGGAGGTGGGAGCTGCCATCTCATTAAAGCCAGCAGCACTCTGCAAGAGGAAGTGAATGAAGTGTTCAGCTTGTTAGGCAAGGCCCAGTGCTGAGATCCCCTGCTGGGTTTGGCTACTGATGACTGCAAGCTTTGCTCCCAGCTGTGTCCGTCCTCATCTGTACAACTGCCACAGCTCTGTGGAGGCTGCTGGCTGCAGCCCTGCTCTCCTGATGCCCCTCTGCACTGTGGGAATGCCTGCTGTCCTCCAGCCAAAGGCAAGGGCTGTTCTTCTTAGAGGGGTGGTGCTCTGAGGGCTGAAAAGGTTACGTGGAGCCTAGCAGAGGAGGCTGCACAGTGGCAAGATGACTGCTGCATGGGACAGCAAGGCTGGGCATTCAAGGCAGAAGCGCTCACTGGTAAAACGACAAAGAGCTGAGTGGATGCCTGGCAGCCTACCACTTCCTGAGGTCCAGGGACTCAATGCACCCATCCCCTGCACTCCCAGTGGTACGAGGCATGGAAGCACTTCCCTATTGGATTCACAGCTGCAGCTGCCTAACCGTGAAAAACATGTGTCCCTTCAGTAGGTCGTTGCCTGCAGTATGTGTATACAGTAGCATAGGCTGGAAAACATTGAAGTGAAAACGTGTGTGAACATCTGAGATACTGCTGGCTTTATGAGGTGTGAAGAGATGGCTAAACTGGTAATAGCGTCAATGGGGTGTCTGCAGCAAAAAGGAAGTGAGATAGAGCATGTTTATCTACTTTCATGAGAAAACTATTTCATACAAAAAGAAAACTGCAGGTAGGATCCAGCTTTCAGACTAGTACAGTTACATTTAGGGTTCTACCTGCAGGTGTCACCAACGGACTGGGTGGGCGAGTTCCTACTACAGTCAGTGGAGCCCAAAAAGCAGCTCTGCTCTCCTTAACGAAAACACACCTGAGCAGGGAAACAGCACTGCAGGCTCAGAAGCAGGTCTACACAGACCACAGCAGAGACGTGGACATGTTGTTTATATGACAACATTTAAAGTTACGCATCTTAGTAACTTAGTAACTTAGCTCTCTCAGTGAGAGCTGAATCCTACACCTAGTGTTCAAAACTTTATCAAAGGGGAGTTAAGATTGCCTTGTGGTATATTATGACCTACTCTGGAGCAATCAGTTCAGCACTACTCCAGTGCCTGAAAACCAGGCAATCAAGAACCTAGGTACCAAATATCCTTATTTTTACTACCTTTGCTTATGCTTTGATATTCTCAAAATGCAGGGCCTGTTGCAATAGGACAAGGGGTAATGGTTTTAAACTAAAAGAGGGCAGATTCAGACTAGATCCAAGGAAGAAATTTTTGACAATGAGGGTGGTGAAACTCTGGCACAGGTTGCCCAGAGAGGTGGCTGATGCCCCATCCTTGGCAACATTCCAGGTCAGGCTGGACAGGGCTCTGAGCACCCTGCTCTAGTTGAAGACGTCCCTGCTCACTGCCAGGGGGGTTGGACTAGATGACCTTTAAAAGTCCCTTCCAACCCAAACTATCTTATGGTTCTATGATCCCCATTCACACAGATCATCACCCACTGGCAAGACTCTCTTTCCTGAACAAGCTGGCAGGGTAGCCTGCCAAAGCACAATGTTAATTAAAGGGCCTGAGTCTGCATTTTGACTGTAGATGAGCCTTTGCCTGGTTTCAGTGCAAACAGAAAACTTGAACCAGCAAACTGGACGACTCATGCAAGGTTGATCCCTGCCAATGCCAACCCTGCTGGGTTTTGTTAAGGTTTGCAGGCAGATGACTAGGCCCTGGCCTGTGATTTAGCTAACTGAACAGACCATAAGAAACTCCTGGGCAGGACAGACAAACCTGCAGACAGTAACAAATAACGGAGAAGTTGATGGAGTTACAGACAGCGCCATGACGAATGGCCAGATTTCACCAGCAGTTAAGGGGGTGTGATATGGGGCCAGTCACTCATACACAAAGCCATACCAGCTGCTGAGTAGTGTAAGAGCATAAGGAGCCAGACACCAGAGATCTGCATCAGATACTGGAGAGACCAGGGATGTCTGCAAGTTGGCTACTTGAGGGACCAAAGATTCAAGCCAGCTTCTGGGAAGCCTTGTTTACATGTGGGTGTGGCAGCTGCTAACAAACCTTATGCCTTGAGTAAGAACAGCTAGAGGAATGGCAGCCACAGCGATACCACCTTCTTGCTGGAGGTAGTCCAAGGCAAGAACCACTCTGTATGCATACTGGTCTCTGCACGATCATCACCTATCAGTCAGTCAGTGCTGGCGACATGACACCAGATGAGCCTTCAGTCCGATCCAGCACCTCTCCTGTGGAAGAGACAGTTCCTGCACGGTGCAATAGCCTGTGGCCTCTCAGTCTTGTCACAAGGCTGCACTCTCTTCCAAGGAGCTATCACTGCTCATCCTGACTGTACTGGTACACACAGGGGCCTGTAGGAGTGATGGCAAGCAGCCAGACAGAACACTACCAGTATCTCAGATGGTACTAGATATCCAGGAGGGCACAGTCTGATGCCCTTAGAAAGCTCTTCACTGGCTCTGCTAATAAATCCTGCCCCAAGAGAAAGCAGGTGTAAGACTGTTCAGTCTAAGAGTGGAATGATTCAAAAGCAATGATTCAAAGACAACAGAAAAAACTTTTTCTTCCTTGCTTTATACTCTCCCCAGGCTGCATTCCTCACACCCTCTGATATTTACACTGGGCCAGTTCCCTCACCCTTGCAATAGCTGTGCACTGAGCAGTGGGACTTCATCTCCATCTGGGAAGGCTTTTGTCTTGCAGAAGTGCAAAGAGCAGTGATTAGCAGGAAGCAATTGCAGGCTGAAGCATGCAGTCTTACCTTATCTACTCTGTCCTTCTGGACCCCATAACGGCCTCCAAATCCCTTCACATAGTCTGTATGGAAAAAATGAGGCTATTTTATACATTTTATATTCTGTGTGCACCTCTGACTTCTGTATGCTGTTACCAGTAAAATGAGTTAGCTTTGTCTGCATCTTATCGCATATGGAACTAAATAGAGATAATACATGCAAACTCATAGAATCATAGAATCTTTGGGTTGGGAGGGACCTTTAAAGGTCATCTAGTCCAACCCCCCTGCAATGAGCAGGGACATCTTCAACTAGACCAGGTTGCTCAGAGCCCCGTCCAACCTGACCTGGGATGTTGCCAGGGATGGGGCATCTACCACCTCTCTGGGCAACCTGTGCCAGTGTTTCACCACCCTCATTGTCAAAAATTTCTTCCTTAGATCTAGTAGAAATCTGCCTTCTTTTAGTTTAAAACCATTACCCCTTGTCCTATCACTACAGGCCCTGCTAAAAAGTCTGCCCTTATCTTTCTTCTAAGCCCTCTTTAAGTCCTGGCAGGCTGCAATAAGGTCTTCCTGGAGCCTTCTCTGCTCCAGGCTGAACCCCCCCAGCTCTCCCAGCCTGGCCTCACAGCAGAGCTGTTCCAGCCTCGGAGCATTTTGGTGGCCTCCTCTGGACCCTCTCCTCATGTCTTTGCTGTGCTGAGGGCTCCAGAGCAGGACGCAGGACTGCAGGGGGGTCTCCCCAGAAGGGAGCAGAGGGGCAGAATCCCCTCCCTCGACCTGCTGGCCACGCTGCTTTGGGTGCAGCCCAGAATACAGTTGGCATTCTGGGCTATGAGTGCACATTGCCGGCTCATGTCCAGCTTTTCATCCACTAGTACCTCCAAGCCCTTCTCGGCAGGGCTGCTCTCCATCCCTTCATCCCCCAGCCTGTGCTGATACCGGGGGTTGCCCCGACCCAGGGGCAGGACCCTGCACTTGGCTTTGTTGAACCTCATGAGGTTCACAGAGGCCCATTCCTTGAGCTTGTCCAGGTCCCTCTGGATGGCATCCTGTCCCTCAGGTGTGTCAACAGTACCACTCAGCTTGGTGTCACCTGCAAACTTGCTGAGGGTGCCCTCGATCCCACTATGTCATTGATAAAGATATTAAACTGTACTGGTCTCAGTACATACCCCTGACGTTACGGCTCATCGCCCATCTCCATCTGGACATTGAGCCATTGACCAGTTCCCTTTGGATGCAACATCCAACCAATTCCTCATCCACCCAACAGTCCACCCATCAAATCCATCTCTCTCCAATTTAGAGAGAAGGATGTTGTGGGGGGCCCTGTCTGGACACTAGCTTTTAAGACTAATCCTTCATTTCTTTCAGTGAAGTGCACAGGTGTTCAGTGCTGTACGCTGTCAAATCTGCTTCCAAGGCACTGGGGTGAGAAGTCAGTCCTGACATTTGAGTGCAATGTGGCCTTGTTCACTTTAGTTAAACATACAGCAGTCAAGCCATTCCTGGAACCTGTTTTGCCTCATTGCCATGTGCTCATCCTTTGAATGAGCTTATGATCAGGAACGGACCTCAGAGAAAGAACAGTATAGTCTGGGAATGCTGATTCAGGGACTTGCATTCAACCTCGCTCACTGATCCAAGCATGCACCTACTTTGGCAGAGTTTACCCTTGTGCTTTGGGGGTTCACAGTGTCCCAGCTGCTCCACAACATGCTGTACACACTGAGTTTTCAGCTGCTGGATCTCTGTCAAGTATGAACCGCTATCTCTAGGTCTGTGTGTGCTCCACATAAATTGTGCTGCCACCTCTAGCAGCATCGCCCTACCTGTTTGGGATGCATGGGGTTGTACTTCCTCCTGATGGTCCCAGCCAAGGGCACTCTTGTCCTGACGATCCCTCTGGACTCCAAACTTCCCACCAAAGCCCACAGAATAGTCTTCAGCCACAGGGATCCAGATTATGGCATAAAAGAGAACAGACAAGGAAGAGAAAGAGAAAAGTGGCAGCACTGTGAGCTCAGGCTGTTCTCACGGGGACAATATTTTTCCCTATCCAGGACTTAGAAAAACACATGGACCAAGGCCAGATTTCCCCATTAGTGGCTGCAGCAACAGCCGTCCCTCCTCTCTGGGACATGTCACCTGCCTGGGCTTCCCCTGTACCCTTCCTTTGGTGACATGCTTCCCAGGAGATCTCTGTGCCCATAGTAACCTGCTGCTCCTCTTCATTTAGCCTGAGCTTTTCCCAGCAGTCATGCACCGTGCAATGACTTTCCTCACCTACCCCGTTCCCCTGCTGCAAACAGTGGGCACCCAACAGCTCCCCGTAGCTTTTCCACCATTCATGCAGCAGGTTGCAGAAACCAAGCATGGTGCCCCACAGCCCCAGTGGGCATAGTCTCAAGCGCCAGTCCTGACAATGCCTACCACATTGGGCTCCCCCAGCTCACCCTTCTGAGAGTTGTGCTTCTCTGCCTGGCTCTTGTAGTCGAATCCCACTGCCGCTTTGTCCACCTTGTCCCTCTCCACACCGTAACGGCCACCGAAGCCCTTGGAGTAATCTGAGGTGATGCATGGAGTGAAATACTGCTCCGAGCATGAGGCTGGTGAGGGGAGGGTGTAAAGATGGGAAGCAGCACTAAGGAGGCACACTAGGGAGGAGGAAGAGCAGCAGGGATGATGGAAAACACTAGAAAATGCAAGGGGTTTGGAGGGGACAGAGTGGATGGCAAGGAGCACCATGAGGGCCATTGAGGATGAGGGCCCATGGGAATGCGTGCACAGGGCAAGCATGGGTCATGGCAGCGAGACAGCCTGTCTCCTGAGAGCAGGAGACACAGCAGGCTGAGAGGGCAAGGAAGAAAAGCGACACACCAAGGGCAGCTGGGGAGGCAGTGGGAGTTCCAGCACCCAAGGACGCAAAGCCAAGGCAAGACTTGGGCACTGACAGCCTGGGCATCCGCCCACTCATGCATCTCCAGAGCAAGGATTTCAAGCCGTGGTCTGCCAGTCTCTGAAAAGGTCTGTGAAAAGTATATTGAGCCCTTGAAAGTACAGAAGCATGGCAAACTTTTATTGTATGGCTTACATTTGCTATAATGGAATCTCAAGGAAATGGAATCTACAAGGAAACCACTGACTCTGGATGCTGCAGCAAAGGCTCAAACCCACAATTCTGAAGAACATGCTCCAGCTCTACCCCCAGACTGCCTCTGGCACGCTCAATTATCATGTGATAAGGATGCACAGCATGTCTTCTTTACACCTCCCCTTTTTCCATCTTCTAAACTAGTAACATATTAACTCCTTCAGCTATGTTCAATTATTCTTTAAGGACTACCTTATTATTACTGGCTGATGTCCTAAGAAATTTCAGCCTCTATCCTAGACGCTGGCTGTATAGAGACACTCTCCTTTCAGAGATCTGGTCTGCCAGCTCTGATTCCAAATCCTACCCTTCAGAAGCAGTAAATCACACTCTCTTTGTTCCCTGACCCTATTCTTACAGGTCTGCATTTCACAGGAATGAGTTGGGGCTTCTCCAGCAAATTCAGCCTTATCAATCCATGAAGATTGTGACTAAAGAAATATGCATGAAAACATTTTGTATTCAAGAATGTCTCTGTTTCATAGAAGCTCAATCACTTAAGGATGAATCTGTAAGCCCTAGAAATTTGTTAAATTTGCCTTGATTAAACCATTACTTGCCCATTATGCCATTATGAAATAGACCTTTTAGGATGCTGTTTTCAGCAAATACAGATTTTATGACTGTTACCCTGATGCTGGAGTTTCCAGTATGGACACATTTTTATGAAAAACAATCCAAACACCTCACCCAATTCTAACATTTTCATTTTGTCTTGAGTGATTTCTGTGGTTTTACAGAGGCCTGATGAATTTCTATGTCTACAATCTAGTATACAATGTCTTATATAGGAAAATGTTACTGTAGCACAATTGCATGCGATTCATTAATTTAAGATCAACCAAGACTGCTTTCAGATCATTGTCTTCCTTTTATAGTCTCCTCTGAAATGAACATGATTCAGTTGTTCTTTTCTTGGTAATACAGTATTTCTCACATTTATCTGAAACAGTAACAGAGCTTGCCCTCTCATCTTCCTGGGCTGCAGAATATTTAAAATAGCTTTAGTTTCAGTTCTTGAAATGTTCTTAATGAATATAGCTGCTTGTATGTACATGTCAAAGTTTGGTTGAATCATCTCCAGAATTCTGCAAAAGTATGGGTTCTGTATAGGCTTTTGTTTCCATATCCATTGTTGTGCCTTTTCTTATATCCCACTTTTTCAGAAATCACTTCTCATGTCTTACAGTGCTTGGGTTCCCTCTGGGGCAGTTGCTCAGAAGGACTTTTAGGGGGAAGGGAGCATCAGCCATCCGTGGGGGTGCACGTGGGGTTGTCATCTTCTGCTCAGCCATGACATGGTTTCCATCAAAGCAAAACGTAGAGGCAAGTGGAATGTACAACAGAAGAGTGGTGACAGGACAGCAGGGAATGGGGCTGCAAAGGTGACTGACTGGGAACAGAAATCTAAAACAAACGACAGGAGGGCAGTAACAAAGGAGACTGTGCCAGAGCAGACAGCACAGGATATGTGGAGCAGCAGAGAAGCTGGGCAAAGTGTCAAGGGGCCATACGTGCCCATGGACTTGCCTTTCTGGGATGAGTGTTTCTCCACCTCACCCTTGTATTCAAAGCCCAGTGCTGACTGGAACAAGAAGGGGAAGAATGTCAGTCATCCTAAGGGCCAAGCCAGGTCTCACCCACCCTCCTCCAGGGGCCAGGCTGGGACCCTGCTCCCTGTGTTGTGCTGCAACATGCAGGCGCCTGGCCACTCCTCGGCTGGTACAGGCCTCCTCAGCCTCTCACACCACAGCTGCTGTCCCTGTGGCAGTGTGTCCAGGAACAGCCCAGTTACTGTGCTTGGCACAGCTTGGGGGTTTGGAGATGCCAAACACCACAGCCCCACAAGACAAACTCAGTGCTGCCTGGACAGGACAGTGCAAGCACATTAATGCACACCAGAGAGTTAATCTCCACAAGTGCCCTGCAATTTGTCATCAGTCATTGTCCTGCACACAGGAGGTGAGCTGCATGCTTCTGTGGAGACTGTGGTGCATGGCATGCCTGGACGTGCACCCACCAGCACTTTGAAAACTGCAGCCACAGTCCTAAATGTAGCACAGTGTTTTAGGGGCAGCACTGAGCACAGGCCGCAAGTATGTATTTCAGCTGCCCTGTCCAACACACCTGGTCAGCTCGGTCCCGCTGGACTCCATACTTCCCCCCAAAGCCCTGGGCTGCATCCGTCTGTGAGGAGTGCTTCCCAACATCAGCAATGTACTCGTGGCCCACTGCGCACTGAGAAGAGAGACAGCATGACATGAGCACCCATGGTCAGACTGGCAGGGTAGACAGATACACAGGCACCACACAGTTGCTCTGACCCACTGCCAAGATGCTTGCAGCCACAGGGTGACAGGTCCAAACTGATGGTGCTGGTGGTGGCGACGCCTTCCACACAGCCCTTTGCCATTATCAGCTCTGCTTTGGGACTTGTGGTGCAGCTTCAAGGACAGCCATCCCACACAACCAGTCCCACTGCCAGCTCATCATGCAAACCATGGGATGCTGAATACCTGCTGATCCCAAATGCCAGTGGAGTGGTGGATAAACACGTGGGGAAACCAAGGAGAAAAGTGCAGATAGGCATGCACAACTGAAAACCCACAGGCAGCAGGTCTGGCACCTGCTCCCTATTTTCTGTGTCCCAGAGTGAGGCTTAGTAGACCTGCCTGGGATCACCTTTTATGCCTACCAACAGGCCAGGCCAGGGTCCCACTGCTCCCTGCGGGAGGTGGTGTGGCCAGGAATTGCACACATTCCTCAGGAGAAGGGCCAGAGGCTGAATGCTTGCAAAATCCTGATAAGACTGGACGAAGGCTGAGGAGCTGCTCAACAAAAACATCGTGACTCTGCTCTGGCAGAAGGATCTGAGTATGGCTGCTCTGTTTTTGCCTCCTGGAAATGCCTGTTTCTCACCCTGCCATCCTGGTACCATGCACACCCAGAGTGACCCCATATATTGAATGCTACTGCAATTTTATCTCACTTCTGAAAAAAAAGAAGTATTAAATGATGAAAGGTACAGGAAGAAGCGTGACAATGATTACCAGAAAACATAAAGCAGATCTGATGTGAGAACAGAGAATATGAACGAGGGCTTCATCCTGGGGAGATATGACAGAGGTCAGTAACAGTGAATGAGAGGAGGGAATTTTTATTCAATAGTTCTCCAAGCACAAGTAGGGAGGCACCTAATTTGTTATGCAGCAGGTTTGAAATAAGCCACTGAAAGTCCTTCTTCATAGCTAAGGGGAGTGTTGCAAGAAAGCGGTAGAGACAAGTTATACAAATGGATTCAAACAGATCCTGGAGACAGATTACAGGCTAGCTAGGCATATGTGAATCAGCGCAGCCCTGCCAGCTCTCCCTACAGGGTCAGATCAGAAAACAGGGATGCTCTTTCTTTACAAGAAAAAGACCCAAGGAAGTCTCTACAACTGTTACCTTATCCATTCGGTCCCGCTCTGTTCCAAATTTGCCCCCATAGCCATAGGAGGCCTTGGGACCAGTCTCCAGCTCCTTCTTCTTGATGACCTCGTGTTCCTCTGACACCTTGCTCCTCAGCTCATGGATGCTGGTGAAACAGAGTCAGGGCAAGTCACTGTGGGATTGTGCAGACCCATGCAGCCAGCTGGAGTATCTCTGTGCCACTGTACTAGTCAAAGCCCAGCACAGCGCAGGACATAACCCACTGCCAGCTGCCACTGTGTGCCCGCACTGGGCCTCTCTGTGTGGTAGCCACACATGTGCAGCCACTGCACTGTCGCAGGAGATGACGCTACCCTGGAACCTGGCAAAGGATCCAGAGCGGTAGGCTCAGCAGGTGCATCCAACCCCCACCCTGCAGCCCCCATTCAGGGCTACACTGTGTCTTCAAGAGGAGACCATGCTTTCTTTTTTCTGTGTGCTGCACTAGCCACACTGTGCAGGGCAGTACTGGGATGTCCCAAAAGGGAGCTGCAGGATAGGGCCAGCTTTGGACAGGGAAGGCCAGGAAGTCTTTGCCACAGGGACAGGCGTTGTCTGGAGGTACTCGAAAGGTACTTGCAGCATCGCAGGCGGCCTGTGAATTTTGCCTCTGGTGCAACACCAGTATCTCAAACCAAGAGCCTGGATGCAGCCGGCAGAGCCCGGGCGGGCAGGCTGCAGGCCCGCGGGGGTGGCAGTGCAGCCCCAAGGCGCTCTGTGCTCGGGGTGAGGTCTCCACTCCCCTGCCACCCCGCTGCT